GGCAGTTCCATCCCCTGATAAAACTTCAGTCTCCCAGGAGGTCTGTTAGCCCACTTCCCACGGCTGGTTCAGCTGCAGGCGCTCTCGGCCCAAGGAACTGGCGGCTCTGCCCCAGGACAACGGCTGAGCAGAAATCAGTTGTTTTGCCTGTGGTCACGGGTGTGTGTCACCACTGGACACTTCCTCCCAACCTCCCGGATGAGGTGAGAAGCCCGAGGGCAGCCCCGCCATGCGCGCGCACACAGGTGGGCCCGAGCAGGGCCATGCCTGGGGCCCGTTGGTATTGTGGCAGGTGACCCTCTCAGTCTTTGGATTTTTCTATCAGATTAGCCAATATTTCAGATCTCAATGGCTTCACTTAAAATCTGGGTGTAAAGCCACCGATTCAAATTATTTTATCCTGTCCAGGAACACAGAAGCGCTTGAGTTCCTCTTTCTCCCTTTCGTGGCTGATAACAGACATTCAGAGAATCACATCAGAGAACCTGGCCCAAGCCCTCCCCACACACCTCGGGAAACAGCACGAGGCCGGAGGCCAGCCCCCAAGCCTCTCCCCCTCTGCCACACATCCACGGCCTCAGCTGAGGTCAGGCTAATTTGTCAAGTCGGGAGTCAGTGCCCCAAAGTGCCAGCTGTGTGCTCCAAAAGCCAGAACCCACACAGCACATGGTGTAGACGCAGGGTCTCAAATAGCCAGTCAAAGCTCTGCCCCCACGCCCCTGTGCCTCAGCAGCACACAGCATAGATGCGGCCCCTCCAAAACCTGGTCAAAGCTCCACTCCCTGCCCCACCAGCACACGGACGCCACTATTCTCTATGCCCCAGCCCTGGACACCCAGCCCCTTCACAACTGGCTGACCTGCAGAAGCCTGTAGAAGGGGTTGTGGCCAAAGCCAGTCCCCCAGCCTGTTGGAGACCCATCCCCAGAAGTGTGCTCAGCATCCCAGCAACAGGACCTGTATGTTGATGCCAGGCAGCAGGCATCTCCCTAATGCCTACGGAGGCCTCCGCTGCAGACCTGGGAGCAGGGACTCAGGGAGGGCAGCTCAGGGGCAGCTCATCTCAGGGGAGGGTCCCAGCTCTACCCATTATTTACTGGGGACCTGAACAAGTGGCCCAAGCTTGCTCCTATCCACACAGGGGGCTGGGCGGAGCCCCATCTGCGGCCCCACAGCACCACCGGTCACCTTCACTGGAGCCCATGATCAGCAAGCTTTCTTTTGGGACCTGCAGATGTCACGCTCCTCCTGCTGGGTCACAAAAAGAAAAATCACCCATTTGCAACATGCCCAACGCCCCCACAGGCTGGCCACACGCAATTGCCTGCACACAGACCAGCCGAGGGCCAGGGCCACCCCAGGTGGGACAGCGGGGAGACCCCCAGGGAGGACGCATCCCAGTTCCTACCAGCCCATGGGTTTTTTTCTGCCCAAATCAGGATAAACTCTGAAATATTCAGATAACTTATAAAATGCAATCAGGGTGGGATGAGCAGTTTTTTAGACTTTTGGAACCTAGCACTACCTAGAGACTAAGTTATGGATATTACAAAAATCCTCAATACCACAGCCAAAAACGTAAAAGAAACAATGTCTGAAATACACTAAATTGAACACATGGCTGCCCCTGAACCATGTCAGTAGAACTGCTATCAAGCTACCTCACCTCTTACAACACCCTCTTTTTAAGAACTCAAATCAAAAGTGCAAAATCTCATGTACAGGACTGGCGAGGGCGCTGTCAGCGCGGAAGAAGAGTCCCCCCGAGATGCTCCTCCCCCCAAAGTCTGTTCCTTCGCAGCCTCTGTGCCCGTGTGCTGCGGGCTTTCCGAAGGCAAACTTGGACACACGCCCAGTGCAGGCAGCGCAAGGGCCCTCCCTTGCCTGGCAGCAAAGTCCACCCGCAAAGAGGTTGCCCTCGGCCTGCGACGGGTGCCCCACATCTGGGCAAGGGACGGAATAAAGCAAGTCACTTAACCATAGCTCCTGTGTGTCAGCATGGAGCCTCTAAAGCCGCCACCCACCCAGCAGCCCCAGGACGACCCTGCGTGCACCTGTGATGCCTGCGGTGCAGTAGGCTGGCCTGTGCGGTGGTGGTAACCCTACAAACAGGCCAGGAAGGGGGAGAGCCCTTTCCTTCCCACAGGGCTCACGGCCTGGCTCTCCCCAGAGTACAGTGTTTAAAACTCTGATTTCTCTGGGCCTTTAGCACGTCCCTGCGATTTCTGTGAGTCTCCCAAGCATTGAGAATGGAGCGTCACTCCACATGGTCCAAGGTGGGCCTGAGCTCTCAGACCATGATGTCCCGTCACACCGTGCTGCGAGCTCGCCAGCACAGCCGCTTCGACTTGGGCAGGAACCGAGCACCACCGTGACCGCCAGGGGCTCCAGGGGGCTATTCACAGCCCTCAGTGCCGTGCGGATGGAACAGCCGAGTGGGAAGTGATCCCCCGACACCCAGACCCCTTGGCAAAGACCAGCCCAGCACACCTTTCTTTACAAGGTTCCTTTCACTGCAGGACAGAGTTAAAAGCACGCCAGGGAACGGGGGAAGCTTCGCTGTGATAAATTCTCCCTCTGGACCTCAGAGAACACTAAAAACCTAGCACTTCAGCTCCCTGGGGAGACCCTGCTGCCAGCACCAGCATGCACTTCCTCGGCACAGCACGAGCTGGGGTGGGGGAAGCATGTCCCACAGCCACCCTGCTCGCAGTCCACTGCCTGGCCTCCCATCTCCATCGTGGCCTCCGTGGTCCTCGAGGGCAGCTGTCAGAACACATGGAAACACACTGTAAGGGGCCAGGAAACACTTCATGTGGAACTGATGGTGGGAGAGGCTCACTTCACACCGACCGAGGGTTGCCGGGTGCACTTCACTTGCTTTGCGTGTCCTCTTAGCTCACAGACGCAAGTGCACCCGTGAGTGAGAGACAGAGCCCGGTCATGGGCCGCACAGGTGCCACAGACATGCCCTAGCGAGGCCAGGCCGGTGGCATTCCGAGTGCCCAGGCGGCCCGCCAGAACCACGGATGCAGGTGTGGGCAGTACAGGCTGAACCGCGTCCCTCAAACTCATCGCCCTGGACTCAGAGTGCGACAGTCCGGATCCGGGGTCATGGCAGGGGCTGAATGAAGTGAGGCTACTGGGCAGGCCCAGACCCGGTGGCCCGCGTCCTTGTAAACAGGTGAAATAAGGTCCCAGAGACAGACGGGAGGCGGGAGGCCAGTGCGGACGGGAGCCAGGCCCAGCGCCAGGCATGAGGAAGGACTTCCGTTGTTCGGGCCATGGCTGCGCTGCCATCTCAGCAGCCCTGGAAACTACCTACAGCTTCATCAAGCCCTCAAAACCCTCTCGCTGCAGCCGCCTTCCCGCCTGCAGGGACATGGACGACTCGTGTCTCCCTCGACGTCAGGAGTTCAGGGACATCCCACTACGGGCAACTACGACCTGCACATCCACGGGGCTGCAGGTCGTGAATGGTATATTGTTTGTGTGCTGCAGACACATTCTCGTGTATTCACATAAGCTTTATATAAAAATGTGTAAAAGTTATAAAGATAGACATAGGCAGAGACAGTTCTTAAAATGTTTAAATGCCTCTGAATGGATTTTTTTAATTCCCAGTGTCTGACAAACAGGGCCGTACCAGCTTTTTGAACTTTGTAGTATTGAAAGAAGTGGGCAGTTCCCATTCTAAATCTTGAATGGCTCCTATTCTAGGTGCAGAAAGGTGGTATCCACCATCTGACTGGTTTAAAAACTGACTCTCATTTTGTTTCTTTGCCACAAACTTCCAAAAAAGGCTTAGTCGGGTTCATTCAGCACTGAGACCTAAATCATCCACTTGCAGGCGAAAGAACTCCACGTGCCTCAGATGTGGGGAGAGGCGGGCTCTGCGCAGAGAGAACCCTGTCAAGCCAGCAGGTGAACGTGCCATCCCATCTTACGGGCACACTGCCGGGGGCCGGGGGGGCCTCCTTCCGGTCCTGCCTCCAGAATGAACAAGAAGAGAACAGGAAAACAAGCCCCCACCCCCGAATCAAGAACTACATGCAGACGCATGCGTGCCTCTTGCGGAGGCGGCTACAGCCCTGCGTCCACGGAGCCAGCACCGGGCATGGGGAGGCACGTGGGGACGTTTTTACGCCTGATAAAAACCCTGGAACAGAAAGCACTCTGCCAGGGGTCATTAGCGGCCCACTTGCTGGGAAAGCTGTTTAGTTAAAAATAAAACCCCTGTGCTGGGTAAGTGGACCCAACGGAGTGCCAGCACCCTGCACACTTTAAGAAGAAAAACCAACATCCCCAGACGAGGAGCTGGAGCACGCTGAGCTTGCCATCACCAGACCGCCCGGGCGCGGACACGCACCCTGGGGAGGAGGCGGCGCTGCTCTCCGGCACCAGCAGAGCCGGCTGGGGGCACGGGGATTTGCCGCCCTGGGGAGCTGCGGAGCGGAGGCTCCATCTGCACAGATGCAGGGATGGCAATTAGGGGGGAGGGAGGCAGTGGGTGAGCAGAAGGCAGAGACGCAAACAGGAGAGGGACTGCTCGGTTTGAGAGAAAAACAAAGAAGCTGAGCGCACATGTTCAAAAACCCAGGTTATGGGCCAACTCATGCCCCCAGAACGCATATGCTAAGGCCCTACCTCCCAGCACCCAGAGTAAGACCTGTTTGGAGATGGGGCCTTAAAGATGTGATTAATGTGGGGATGACATCTTCAGAACGCCCTTGTCCAAAAGGACTGCATCCTTACAGGAAGGGAAATGTGGACACAGTCACACAGGTGACACCACGTGACTGAAGGCCAAGATGGGGTGGCCTTTGGAGCAAGGGACAAGAAGGGCTGGTGGCCAAGCCCAGAGCCGCACAGGGCCAGGCAGGTGTGTCCCAGACACGCAGAAGGGCCCAGCCCTGCCTGCTGGACTGTGACCACCAGGCCTGAGATGCTGCAGCCATGCAGGCCTGGCCTGTGGGCTCTGCACGCCTCACCCCAGCTCACCTGGCATAGGATGTCGGGGACCTGGGCCTGGCCCACTGGTATGGGTGCTGGGGCACCGACAGGTACTGGTCGCAGAAGGCACCCTTGCGGACCTGCTGAAAGGACGGGAACTCCTCGGGCAGGAAGTCAGGCGAGGGTGGCGTAGCCCCCAGGTCCTCGCTGGTCGGCTCCACCTTGAGGGCCACCGAGGGCGAGTGGTCCAGGGCGGTCTTGCGGGCCTTGATAGGGACGCCGTCGCCCAGGTCCAGGCTGCTGTCTGTGCTCAGCGCGTTGATGGCGGCCACGATGGCTGAGCTGGTATACTGCGTGGTGTTGCCCAGCCAGGTGTCGTCAGTGACACTGACCCGTGGTGAGCCGTGAGGGGACGGTGTGGGCGAGGGGTGGGGGGAGCCGGGCGGCTGCCGGCCATTGAGGCCATGCTTCCTCTTGTTGCAGGGGGACGAGGGCCGGGAGGCACGGGCCCCCAGCCAGCTCTCCTCTGTGATGCTGGTTCGGGGCGACGTGGAGGGTGAGTGCCTCGGGGACCCAAGCAGGCTGCAGGCACCCAGGCCCCGGGGAAAGCCCTCCTCTGGGTCCGTGGTCCTGGGGGACACACAGGGGGACTGCCATGGGGAGGTCTGCGGGGACGCGTACGGGTAGGAGAAGCCGGACTCGTAGGACGAGGCTTCGGAGTTGCAGCTGCGCGAGGACAGGCTGCTGGCTGGGCTCAGGCACGAGGGGTCGCGGTAGGCCTCCAGGGGGGGCAGCGTCAAGGTGGCAGTGGACGGGGGCCGCCTGGAGCTGGGCAGAGCGTCCTCCACATCCACGTCATGCAGGAAGGGGCCAGGGCTGTGCTGCAGCCCCAGGTACGAGGTGATCTCAATGCGGGGGCTCTCCAGGGCAGGCGCTCCGCTGGGCCTGCTGTGGCCAGATGGGAGGAAGTAGCCGCCATCCACAGTGCCTCCGTACCCCGGGGGGTGACTGGCTGCCGCCATAGCAGAGATGCCTGGGGCCGAGGACTGCAGGTCGAGGCACGGAGCCGGCAGTGAGGGGTGTGCGGTGCTGAGAGGCAGCCCGGGAGCGACGCTGGGTGCATAGCCACAGTGCTCTGGAAGGAAGAAGACGACGGAGTGAGGGCGGTCATCCAAGCACAGACCCTCCATCGGGTGGTCTGCCCCAGGCCCAGTGCCCAGCTCCCCTCTGCAGCAGCCTCCTGAGGCTCCCAGCAGCCCCAAGCCCTGGTCCGACAGCCCGTCCCCTGCACTGCCACCCTCCCTCCCTCCCCACCCCAGCCAGCCTCAGCACCCTCCCCTTCAGCCAAGCGCCTGCCCAGGGTGTCCCGCTGGTAGCCTCTGCCCCTCGGAGCCACAAGCGGCTGCCTTCCACTCTTACTCAAAAACTGCCTCCCCAGCCACCCCAAAATCCCCATCCCCACTGGCCACCTGCCTCGTGGCTGCCCTCAGAGCGAGGCCTGTGCCCAGCTCACACGAGGTCCTCAATTTCTAACACAGATGGAAAGGTGGATCTTAGATACAGGAACCTGTATCAGAGAGATTCCACAGGCTGATCACCGTCAGGCACCCTAAGCACCAGCCACAAAGAAACACCTCAAGGACGAACACCTAGATTCTCGGCGTCTCTCATGGAAATTCTGGTGGTGGCTCATGGCCAAAAATCCCTCTTTAAAATAGCAGGTGATTACAAAGCCACAGTAATCAGACAATTTGGTACTGGCACAAGAACAGACCCATAGACCAATGGAACAGACTAGAGAGCCCAGATATAAACCCAAGCATATACGTTCAATTAATATACGATAAAGGAGCCATAGATATACAATGGGGAAATGACAGCCTCTTTAACAGCTGGTGTTGGCAAAACTGGACAGCTGCATGCAAGAGAATGAACTGGATTATTGCCTAACACCACACACAAAAGTAAACTCGAAATGGATCAAAGGCCTGAATGTAAATCATGAAACCACAAAACTCTTAGAATAAAACAGAGGCAAAAATCTCATGGACATAAACATGAGTGACTTCTTCATGAACATATCTCCCCGGGCAAGGGAACAAAAGCAAAAATGAACAAGTGGGGCTATATCAAGCTGAAAAGCTTCTGTACAGCAAAGGACACCATCAATAGAACAAAAAGGCATCCTACAGTATGGGAGAATATATTCATAAATGACAGATCCGACAAAGGGTTGGCATCCAAAATATATAAAGAGCTCATGCACCTCAACAAACAGAAAGCAAATAATCCAATTAAAAAATGGGCAGAGGAGCTGAACAGGCAGTTCTCCAAAGAAGAAATTCAGATGACCAACAGGCACATGAAAAGATGCTTCACATCGCTAATCATCAGAGAAATGCAAATTAAAACCACAATGAGATATCACCTCACACCAGTAAGGATCGCCACCATCCAGAAGACAAACAACAACAAATGTTGGCGAGGTTGTGGAGAAAGGGGAACCCTCCTACACTGCTGGTGGGAATGTAAAT